CAAGACCTTCTACCGGGGCATCAGCCGGGTGGTCCTCTTCACGCACCCCCGCAAGGAGGAGAGCGCGCCGCACCTGAAGGAGGTGGTGCGGGAGATGATCCAGCAAGCGCAGAAGGTAGGGCCCAGACGCCCTCGATGGGCCACCCCTGCCCACCCTCACACCTGGGCAGAGGGCCTGGCTCTGGCAGTGGGGGACACGTAGGGTGGAAGGGAAGCGAGAGTCTGGCAGGGACGTGTTGGCCCTCCAGCTGCTGGGTGTCCACCAGGCAGGGTTTTCCCTGAGGTTTTTTTTGCCTGTCGCGTTTTGGTTTGCCAAGGCTGATGGCTGGGATGGAGTTAAACAGCATCCCCCTGCCCCTTCACCCCCTACCAGGGTTTTCTGCCTGTGGTCTCAGTGTGATTCCCAGGCTCAAGAGAAGGCAGGTTGTGATGCTGTTACAGCCACCCCTCCTGTACGTGCAGGTATCCCTAGTCTAACACAGGGCGATGACTTTCTTTACAGGGTGGTGTTTTTGGGGGTTTATTTTTTGTGGCCTCAGCACAATCCAGCCTGCACTGCAAGCAGCCAGAGTCCAGACAATATGCAGCTGCTCCTCCTATTTCTTTCTGACTGTGAAGGTCTGTTAGTGGTGACAGGGCTCCTCTGGCAAGAAAACAAACTGTCCCTGATGCTATGAGAGCTTGCCTTGAATAGGTAGGGGCGATGATGAGGTTTTTCTAGGGGTGGGAAAGACCACTCAGAATGATCACCTTCAGAGCTGACATCGCCCCCAGGGAAAGGGGATAACAGCATAATTCCTGCTCTTAGTCTTGCTACTTTCTCCTTTTTCAGCTTTTTAATTCAGCAGTTATTTCCTCCTCCACCTGCTTCCCCCACTCCCAGCACACACTATACACACACCTTTGGCAGACTTGTTAAAACCAAATCTGCTGGGAAACAGAAAACTTTATAGAGAGGCATTAATTCAGTGGAGGATCTCCTCAGCTCCCTGCTCACAGAAATACTTGCACACCCCATAATCCTGTCCAGTGACTGATGTGGTCAGTTGTACAGAGGAGCCACAAGTTGTGAAATCTTTACACTCCAATTTAAAGCAACTTCACATCCTCTCTGCACTGCTACAAATACCTCTGCAGACCGTGCAAAGACTGGGAAACTTTGCTCTTTTTGATACATGTGCCTAGCACCTAAAATTAATTCCCTTGTAGATTTTTATTTTTTCACTCGACTGGAAGAACCATGCCCCTCCCAGCCCAAAGGTGGTTTCATATTTAACAGCCATTTGAGTGTTTAATGGTTCTTTTCACAGATAACTATGCCTATTGTGTTCAGCTGAGCTGGCCTTGGCAAAAAAGGTCTCCAGGTAGCAGCTCTCTGTTCAGCAGATGAGGGTGGGGGTTTAGCTGCATTTGTTTTTTTTTGAGAGGGGTCTAAGCAGATGCTAGTAATATGTGGCACATGTCTGTGGGTGGCTTATCATCAGTGTTTTACAAACATATGTTAATGAAGCTACCTTGGCACAGTGAGATTGGCAAGTTAATGCTTGCCAATCTTCAAAATGCCTGTGAAGAGCTAGGCACGCCTATGGGCCCTATAGATAAGTTTATTATCCATAGGATACGTAGAGCAATGGGGAAAACCTCTTGTGGGGTAGACACTCATGCTTTGACTTGCTGTGTTTGGAAATGCTCGTAGGTAATCCTGACAGATCACCAGTTATGTTTGAGAAAACATAACAGCTGGGGTTGCCCAGTGCACATTTTGCTGGCTCAGAAGCGCCACCTGCAAGGGAGCTCGTCTCCTTTTTGTACAGGACTGCAGTTTTCATGGGTTTAGTCCACAGACTTGCAAAGAAGCCTGAAGTGACTCAGGGCCCCAAAGCCTGGAGGGAACCATCCCTTCATATTGCAAGGCCAGTACTGACAATTAGTGGTTTGCCCAGGACGTGGTGTAATTTATGCAGTCATTGGTGTAATTTCTGCAGTCATTGGCCTCATTGCAAATGAAAGGGATGGAAAGAAAACAAATTCACACTTCTGCTGTCTATTCTTGATCAGTTTCCTATGTGAATGTTCTTACTTCAAACGAAAATTATCTGGCATGCTTGCTCCTGAGTAACTACATCCATACCACAGTGTGTAGAGGGGAGAGTGAGCATAACAGGCCCGAATTAATGCACAAACTCTTCATACCTTTAATTATAATCTGCCTGTGTATGGAGTTGTTGAGGAATAAAGTAGCACAAGTTCACTGTATTTTGATTCTCAGAGGTTCTGGTCACATTCCCTGCATCTAGCTGCTTTGCACTGGGAAGTGAGAACGAAGGCAGGCCCAGTTCTGCCTAGCAGAAGTTATTGAGGGACTTAGTATAATGTGGCTCTATTGTAGTTTACCTGTGTCAGGAAACCTACAAGTTGATGATGAACATCAACGCGATGTCAGCTCTTTTTTTCTTTTTCTAACAATGAAAAGCTTATGTAAGCCCTGTTGACAGAAGGAGCCTGCTGGAGCAGATGTGTTGGTTGTTGTTGGCTCTACAAGCAGAGACTCCGCGAACACAGTAGGGGACATTTACTGTGGCATTAGTTTCCCAGGAGCAATTTGTTCATGGGCATTTTTCAAAGGAAAGAGGTCTCTGATGAGAATTATTCCCCCTTCCATAGGGGGCTCCTGCAACTTGAGATGCACCTCTTCCAAACTTAAAGTGGAGAAAAATCCTGCCATTCCAACCAGTCTTCAGCTCCAGTGAAACACCTGTATGTGCCATTCCCAGCACAGCTTGGCTTGTCACTGTGACCCCAGTGCCCGGGGAATTAAAGTTTTGGCACCTGTATTCCCAGCATACTGTCAACATGAAAGTTCTGACCTGGCAAGTTGATATTTCCCAGCAGGACTAGGAAAACAGTAATTTTCATCATTCATAACCTTCCAAATGTTGGGGAGAATAGCTCTATCAGGCAGAAAAGTGAGATGATACTTCTAATGGTGTGAAAGTTACTGAAAGGGAGAGAAATAGAAAACATGTAAGATCAGGGTTAAAGTTGGCCAGAGAATCGTTTGGGTTGGAAGGGACCTTAAAGATCTGATGGGCAGGGACACCTTCTACTAGATCAGGTTGCTTTTTGGTTTTGTTGTTACTCATCCTGTGAATGTTCAGGCTTGTCCGTCCTGTCAATGCAACTTTTTGGTTTTATGTAAAATCTATGCCTGGAAAGAGGGATTAGTTTTATACCGGAGAAAATGTAGATGTGAAGAGAGGGAACAATCATTTTTCTTCCAAGCCTTGAACACACACCCTAGTCCTTTCCTGACAGATAGAAGGTGTTTATGTTTGAGGTCCATAAGACATTTCCTGAGAAGCCAGCCCTGAGAACAAACTTCTCACAAGGAACTGGGAAAAAGGAAAATAGGTTTCTTGTTGTCTGCACTATGCACTATGACTGAGGATTCAGGCCCTGATTCCCCTGCACATTCATTCTTCTGTTACTCACATTCTGATTAAGTGTTAGAGCTGTGTTTTTCACTCTTCTTTTTCAATCTATTTTCAGTGTTCTTCTTTATTTAAGCGCATACTTACAGAGGCAATGAAAATTTCACAATATAGAGGGAAGACTGTGTATTTGATTCTGGCATTCCTCAGGCTGCTGAAATAAGCCATCTTCCCCTAGAACTTTCAAAGACATTTATTAAGTTCTTTCCAAAGTGCAGCAGGAGCCAAGCCAGAAAATTACACGACTGGTAGTGCTTGGGCATGTAAATCCCCGTCTCCCCTGTGTCCTTCTCCTCTGTATTCTGGTATCGGTGTTCTGCTTTATTTTGCACCACTGTGAGGGGCCACCCATTCAATTCCTAATGTTTTATTCAGTTGTTTGTCTACTGTCTTCTTGTTTCCAGATTATTGCAGTGGTCATGGATGTATTTACAGACCGGGATATCTTTCGCGATATTGTTGATGCAGCATATAAGCGCTGGATCCCAGTCTATATAATCTTAGATGAGGAGGGTGTGAAGCTCTTCCTGGAAATGTGCAGAAGCCTTGACCTCAGTGACCTGCAGATCCGGGTAAGATACTCAATACTGAACCATTATCTCCTGCAGGTCAGTGGCCTTTTTCAGTTGTAATGAATCCTGGAACTCACTTGGACAGGCAAACACGTCTCTTCCTCCCAGCAAATCACACCACAGTGCTTAGACAAGGGTTGGTGGAACACAGAGGGAATAGGGAGTGGCTTGATAACACAGAAGGAACGAGAAAGGAAAGATTTGAAGGTTTGGATCTTTCACCTGAGACAGAGGTCTATGTATTTTCTTGGCTCTTGCGACCTGAAAATTCCTGTTTGGGAAGAAAACTGTCTGAGTAAATTCCTGTGGCTCTCCCATGCAAGGATTTGAACTAGAGTCCAGAGTAGCTCTTTGAGTTGTTGTCTGCAAGGATCACAGCTATAGGACATATATACTCTGTGAAATCAAGGCTCTCCTGCCCGGCACTGATCACCTGGGAGTGAACAAACTTGTAGTTCTCCTTTGCCTGAGAATGTAAGCGTTTGAGAAGCGTAGCTGCTCCCCAGTTCCATGTCAGAGTATGCCCTCATATCGTACATGCAGCACAGCAGAGCAGTCAGCCTAGCTTGGCTAGCAGAAGCAGCCTCAGTAGGATCTCATTCCATTATATACAGACTGGAATCCTTTCTGTTTGTACTTAGTGTTGTATCCCTTACTTTTTTTCGTGTTTTTTAGTTGCTGTCCCTGCTACCGACTTTTTCAGAATGCTGAAAATTTCTTAGGTTGGAAACAACATGTGGGGTGCCAGGTGCACCCCTCATGTGAACCAACTCTTCTTTTGAGCAGTGGCAAAAATAAAAAAAAATGCTTTTTTTTTGCCTGGAGGAAGGGCAGATCTGCCATAACTACTCAATCAATAGTTTTTTTTAAAAAACACCACCAAAACTCAAAAAGCTCTGAAGGTTATAGAGGTTCATATTAACTATTTTAGGAGAACCATCTTAAGTCTGGATTAAAATGACTTGCGTATATCTGAACAGCGCTCCTGTGAACTAGCAGTCTACTCTGAGTTTCTGAACTTCGTCAAAAAAGACATCCAGCTGAGAACCTTTCTCATCTTTCTCCAAAACAGGGATGGAAGTTTTTTTCCTCTAGTGTCTTTGAAAGCAAGACACAGACATCATTATAATAGACCTGTTTCAAGCTTCAGGGGTATTTTGTGGCCTAGGCTCGAGTCTCTCTGGTACAAATCTCTGAAATCACAACAGTAGTTCCATTTTCTCTGATATCTGTCTCCCAGTACTTTTCTCACTGTGTCATCACGTGCACAAAAGATGCCTTCAGTACTGCATATTTCAGCTCCCGGCTGGAGTGAATGAAAAGATGCCCTGGCATCTCAGAAGAAGTTTTAATGCTATTGGAGAGGTGAGATCCCTTCTGTCTGCCTTCTCCATCTTTAAACAATAAGCAGTCCCTTTCTGCTCTTCCTCTTACCTCTTTTCTCCATAGGTATCGACACAGACTTTACACTCCAAAACCAATCGTCACAGTGATATGCTACAGAAGTGACTAGATCCTGCAGCAGCCTAGCTGTGTTACCCTTTCCAAAGTGATGAGGTTCAAACTGAGGCCATCAAAAGCAGGGAAAAAACTCTTCTGTGTCCCTTCTGTACTTCCTTTCTCTCCCAGCAGCCCTTGCTACATTTTTCATGGACTCCTTCAGCTAAAATATGTCCCAAATACAAGCTGAGCTGAAGGAGGTCCACTGAGAATAACTTTTTAACATGCTTCCTTGACCTTCACTCTTCTGCAGAGCTCTAGCCCAGAGAGTGCTGCTGTTGTGGTTTAACACCAGCCAGCAACTAAGCACCGCGCAGGTCCTCACTTGCTTCGCCCTGCTCCCAGTGGGATGGGGAAGAGAATTGGGGAAAAAAAGCAAAACTCATGGGTCATGATAAGAACAGTTTAATAAATAATTTTTTTTTAAAAGTGTTATTATTGTAAAAATGAATGTAATTAAAAGAAGGAGAAATAAAACCCAAGAAAAGAAAAGTGATGCACAAGGCAATTGCTCACCACCTGCTGATGGATGCCTGAGCAGTGATTGGCCCATCCCAGTCAAGTCCCCCCAGTTTACGTACTGAGCATGACGCCCCATGGCATGGAATATCCCTTTGGCTAGTTTGGATCAGGTGTCCTGGCCACGCTTCCTCCCAGCTCCTTGAGCACCTGCACACTAGGAAACCAAAAGAAGTTTGAAAGTCCTTGATTTCCTAGCAACAACTGAAAACATCACTATATTATCAACATTCTTCTCATACTGAATCCAAAACATGGTGCTATTCTAGCTCCTAAGAAGTAAAATTAGCTCTGTCCCAGTTCAAACCAGAACAGCTGCCCTTGAACCTTTTCCCCTTTTTCCCAGCTATCTCATGCACTATCTTAAATTCCCCTGAAGATTGTTGTATTCCTTTCCTGGCATGGCTAAGGCTTTCATTAATCTTGTGAAGGTAAATGCAACTTATTCCTGTCTGTGGTACAATGGAAGGACTGGAAAGAGTCTTCCTGTAAGGGCAAACAGGTCATTGGCCTCTCAAGGAAGATGTCCTCTTGGTATCCTGCCCAAGGCTGCCTTGGGTTTATCTGTGCTGGTGTCAGTATGGCAGAAGTCATCACACAGTGATTCCCCCCGCACCAGGCTTTAGATACCCAAGGAACCTGAAGCAAGTGTAAGGTTTCCCCTTGAGGACTCCCACTACCCTTGAGGACTCCCACTACCCTCACCTCACTGATGTAACGTATCAACAGTTGCTTCGAACTTTTAGTGTTGAAGACTCAGATTTAAAGCAAGCTGGGCCTCCGATTTGGTTCAGGCAGAATCATATTGTCCTGCATTGCTTGGTCACGGAGCATGTTGGAATTGCTGAGGAAGAGCAAGAAACTCTAGTGCAGTTAGCTCTATCATTCATGCATTTCTTATTTATGACATCTTTTCCTGATATCCTCTTTGATGTCTGAGTTTCTTCTACAGATTTTCAGCAATCTCTTCTTACACTGTCTTTTTGTGTAACCATTTTGCCCTCTTTCAAAAGATTTTCACCAGTGGGCCACACTTTTGTCAGCAAAGGAATTGCATACTCTTCTTTCATGCTCTTCTTCCCACCTTTTCCTTTGGAAAGCTTGGGCAAGATTTACAGGATGGCTTTTTTTTCTCAGAACATTGCAGCTATGTGGGATGGAACTTTAAAGTTTAGAGGCGAGTTCTGAACCCAGGGAAAGCGAGAGAGATGACACACTACCATGGGCTGTCATTGCTGCAGGGTCAGGATGCTTATTCTGTCTTCCATCATCACCAGATGCTCAGACTCTTCTGCATTTCCCACCCTCTTTTTTTCCATCACCCTGTTCATCCGATGCAGAGTGAATTCTTCAACGCTCCTAATACAGGGGGATTTACTGTTAACACAGGGTTTTGCCCCAATGCTGAGCGTTTTCACAAAATTCCTGGCTATTGTATCATTTTGAGATGGCAAGGTATCATGATCTGCTGACAGTCTCATGGGAGGGAAGCTGCTGTAGGAAGACAGAACCTCACTCTGCAAAGACAAAAAGTTCTTTACTGGCTCCAAGCATGAAATGAGAAAACCTCAATTTTTGTCTGAAGGCCAGAGATCACTGGAAATGCGTTTAAATTTGTTCACTGGCACATTCATCTTGGGATGTTAGTAGGAGCGTGTGTATGAGTCATACGGCTTCCTGAGCCTACAGGACATGATTTGCCAGACTTCTGCTACATTTGACACAGAGTGTTCTTCAGAGACCACACTGAATCAAAGTTCTCATAGATACAAAATCCATAGCCCCACAGAAAAGTCTTCTTTTTGTTGACCAGAGCGTGAGTGTTCTCATCATTTTTTAGATGAGTTTTCTTTACCCCCATGCTTCTGTGAACTAAGACCCCAATAACAGACCCTCCTGCTCAAAGACAGGGAGTTCACCTAGAGTGCTAGTCAAGCCCAGGGAATGAGTTACCTGCAGGAAGTTCACCTTCATGTTAATTTTTACATTAGTTTTCCCAGCATGTAAGGAGTTCTTTCATTCACTCCAGGAAATCTTAAAAGTTTTTGCCTGAGAAATTTTTGGATTTTTATTTCAGTATTTGTCTTTCCTCATCAATTTCTAACCTGAGGGAAAAGCTGAATGTAATGTGATGTGGTGCTGTTGGTTTTTTAACTATCTGTTAAATAATTCTTCTAGGCTGCTTGTGACCTTTTGAAAATGGGGGCTTACAAGGTTCTGTTTTTTGCAAACACCCAGATAAGTAATCCCTAGTAACAACCTTGGCAGGCCAGTTCAAGATAGCTGCACTCCATCCTATTTTGCTTGATTACCTGCAAGTTCTACTTTATTGCCAACAAGCATGCCTTTTCCAAAACTGTTCAGGGCAAACATATAGGATAAGTCCTCACTATTTCCCAGCATTGCTTGGTGGCTGCTTTCAGATTGAGGTCACTTTTGTGTCCCTGTCTAGGATGAGCACTTACCACCCCTCTCTCTGACCTGGAGGTCTGATCACCAGAAATTAGAATCTCCCAGGCTGTGAATAAGAAAAAATCCTTTACTGCTGTTACTGTAATCCTGTCCACATGAATCCCATGCCTCTCTTCCTCTTTCCCCCTTCTTTCTGTGGTACCTCCATCTAGGATTTTAAAGCAAGAAATAACAGGCATCTGGGATACCCCCTCAGCCGTGTGCTCAGGTGAAGGAGTAGTACAAGAAAGCAAAGGATGGGAGCTACCCTAACAGATTCTATTGACTGAAGGGATCCGATTTTTTCAGGGATAGCAGAAAGGGGATCTCATATTTTGAAAAACACAGTCAGTGTAAGGGACTGTTGAGTCACTGTCATCTATCAGCTACCACTTTTGTCTTTTACCTCTCCTTAATCTGTTTTACATCTGTTTAAAGAGGTCTTTCATGCCATCCAACCCAACTTGAAATAAACCCCTCTGCTTGCTTTGCAACATATATATCCGGGGTTGTTCTAAGAGTCAAGGTACACACGGGATTCCCAGGTGGAAGTACTTAGAACACTTCCCTTTTGGGTCTGGCTTGTGTACGCCCCCCCACCTCAACCCCAGTGTGGGAGCAGTACTGCCAGGTCTGCCAAGTGACAACTAAGTGTCAGTCACAACGCATCCTATAGCTGACTTTGTAAGATGGGTCTAATTTAACTTCCTGTGGATTCAGAGTGAGGTTTAAGTGTGTCACAATACAGCAAGAAAGACTGATTCCTTCACTGTTTGTATTAGGATGCTCTGTCAGGCTTGACTGTTGCCAGTCTGTACTAAGTTGCTGCCGGGGGGCACATTAGTCACTGCTTGTGATGAGAAGTGATGCAAGCCTATGTAAAGGAAATGTGGAAATTTAATGCAAAGTGCAGCTTTCATAACCCAGGACATGACAAACCTTAATCAGGCTTCTACAAGAACACAGATCTGCAGGGGTCACTTCTATCTGGTTAACTAGCTGGTACTCCACCCGAATTATTTGTTACTGCTGTAACACTAGTGTTCGCCAAAAATAGCTGCAATCTCACCTCATTTATATTTGTCTTTCCTCTTTTACTGTTGTGTAGTCTTCAGTGTGAGAACCCAGGCTCCTCTGTGCAGCTTGATACATCAGTCTACAAATGCTCCAAGATCCTTCAAGGCAGAAAACATTATACAAATAACCTGTTAAGTGACTTGATGTTTATATGACTTTGTGCTTGTTTTTTCTGCATTTCAAGATGTATTTATGCACTCCTGTGCCTACTTTGTTCAAGGAGGTTTATGTATTCAGCTGTTTGGTTCTATCCCTCCTGTGCCTTTCTAAGCGTTATGTGTAGCTCAGTTACTGCAGAAATTCAAATGTGCTTTCATTCCACCAAAAGAAAGTGGAACCATACAAACACGATAAAATCCACGCTCGCTGCATGCTAAGAAACTTTCTGCTCACACAGGCTGATACTTCTTGATTTGCAAAGGCACATGACACGTCAGAGATGTTGACTGATTTGAAGACCGGAGGTCTTTCTTGACACTTGCAGTCAATATTCCGTGATACGGCAAATCCCTCATCCAGCCTCACTCAGCAAAGAAAAACAATTATTTCAGGTGATCAGCCAGCCAGCTACAAATGTTATTCCAAATACTGGAAAGGGCAGCCTTTCTCCTGTGCTCTACCCAACCTGCATTCAGCATCCCACACATATGACTCACTGCTAGGCCCTGGGCAAGTCACTTCATCTTTTTCTCTCTCAGGCTCTTCATCTTTAAAATAGGGTAATAATACTTTCAGCAGTGTTGGGAGCATTAATTAGCTAATGCCCACACAGGACTCCAGACAGACCAAGCAATAGGTGAATGCAAAATTGTAGTATCATCAGTTACTGTTAGTCAGAATTTGTACTGCCACTGCAGTACAAATGGGGAAAATAAGAGCAGATTCAAGAGGTGAGAGTTATATTCAGAAGAATGTTTTCTGAAAGAAATCTGCATTCTTAAGATCACTGATTCCTGTAGGCTGATTTCTATAGCCTGTCAATATTTAAGCTGATAGTGAGTTTAGAATAACAGGACTTAGCGCTTTGTGGGATCTGAGGCTATGCTAGCATTAGCCAACTCCTCATGACTCTCCCGCTCTGCAGATGGGGAGGATGAGGCAAAGGTGGATTGACTTTCCCAGAACATCACCAGGAATAGTGTCACAACTGTGATTACACTTGGGACTATCTGACTCCCAGCGATGGCTTTATTACTCCAGAACACACCACCTTTTCGCTTTTTGTCATTAAAGAATTTTTACAGAAACAGATGGTAGAACGAAGAAAAGGGTCTAAATCTGTGTGTCAGAGTGACAAGATAATTTGCTCTAAACTTACACTGACAACCAATGCATTTAGGTTTTGGGGGGTGGGGGCTGCTTCATGTTAAGACAGTTTGGCAGTTCAGCCTCATGCAGCCAGGACCCATAAGCAGAGTAACAGTCAGCCCAGTGTATTCTTATACAGCAAATATATTTTTATAGTAAGTGCAGGAACACATCTGTTGTTGAAAATCATGTAACCTTAAATCTGTGTTTTCTCTGTGACTGGTAGTGCTTTTTTTTTATTACTTGTAGGCTTGCTGACCAAAAGGTGTGAGATGGGAGGTTTGGGGAGAAGTACTATCTTTTTCTAACTACTTCCATTCATTTAATGAAAAGTATTTCCTTTCTCTTCAGAAATTCTTTGCTGATCTATTCAGGGCATCAATAGAGACATCCTACTCCTTTCCTTCCAAAAAAAGTCAGTGTTTTTTTTTTGCTCTCTGTTGAATGGTGAGGAGTCTGGGTGGACACTGTAACTTTGGGGTTCTTAGCAAAATTATAGTCAGGCTTCTCTTTTGTTGTAACAGATGGGAAACATCTAGCTTTTGCTCAATAGAATTGTTTTCACCTCTCTTCCTGTCATGGTTCAAGATGACTGGGACAAAAAACCACACAGTCTCCAGTTCACTCCTTCCCCGTGATGTGGAGGGAGATAATTCAACTAAAAAGGCTCAGGGTTTTGAGATTAAGGATAGGGAGAGTAGTAATCTAACATTTAAGATGGTGGGTAAAGAACCAGAGTGACTTGGGGAGAAAAACAGATTTAATTCACCACCACCATTTACGAAGTAGGATAGTGAGAGGAATACATCAATAAATACAACCTGATGTTAAATACACTTTGTTCCCACCCCTCCCGTCTTCCCAGCTACCTCCTCCCCACCTCCATCAGTGCAAGGGAGGCAGGGGATGGGGTGCGGGTGCAGTCCATCTGGCCATTACTCATTGTCCATGGCAGCTCCTCCTTGAGAAAGAGGGCTTCTCGAAGTCTCTCCTTCCTGCCGCGTGGTGTCCACCTCAAGGGAGGCAATCCTCTTCCTCCTCATGAGTCCCTCAGGGCCTCAGATCACTTCAGGACAGGACAGCTCAAAATAAGACAAAACCAAAAGAGAGAAGTAGAACAATGGGGTTGCCTCTTAAATACCTTGATCAAAGAAGCACTTATTGGCCTGGCCATGGCCAGAGGCAGATCCGACTCCTGCCTGGAGGTGGTGGAGGCTCTTGAAGTTTTCCATGAGTCTACCCCCACTTTTACAAGAAACCCCACCAGACTCAAACCCATGACACTTCTGTAATAGTTAAATTGTCAAGTCTTCAAATTTGCCCAGTTTTGTCAAGCCACGTGCTGTTGGGAATCAGAATACAAGCACAAAAAGAATCTTGAGAGAGACGTGTCTCATATATTACCCTCCAAGTAACCGTCTCTTTTGCATTGCACAGATATTGCGAAGTTCCTTGGTTTTGTGGTCCTGCTAATGCAACCTGAAGAAGAGCTCACAAGTGCCATGGAATAGGAATCAGGATTCAGAGAGTGCAGACATGACTCAGAGCTTCCTCTGATTCATTCCCCTGAACTGAGCTGGGCCTTGTGAGCTACAGCGCAGGCCTGGAGGTGGAGGATTATTTGGTTTTGACAGCAGGCAGGGTTACAAAGATGCTGACCCATCGGACAGGGCTAGAAACTGATGGAGGGGAGTGACTTGTGTAAGCAGGGGATGACAACTGGTCTTAATGGCACTATGCTTTCCTTTCTGTGGCCCTTCTGATTTCTGGTGGCTGATACAAAATAAGCTGTAGTCCCAGAATCTGTGAGATAATGTGAGTGACATGTTAAGACTTGGAGCTGGCAATTATCTAATTCTCTGCCCTACTTATTGTGACATTTTGTCTTTTCATCTCCCTGGTAGAATATCCGCATACGTTCTGTGACAGGAGTTGGGTTCTACATGCCAGCAGGGAAGATCAGAGGCACACTGGCATCCCGATTCCTGATGGTGGATGGTGAAAAGGTGGCCACTGGATCATACAGGTGGGTCACTCTTGCTTAAGTCAAAGCTACATTCTTTGTTTAAAGAATGGCTTGTGGCTTTGATTAAGAATCTTCTTTTTATTCCAGCCTTTGTAATCTGTGTATCATCTGTAGAAATTGGGGTGGGATGACAGAGAAGGTGGCATAGAGCACAAGCTGCTCTGAGAGAACAGAACATGCTCATGGACTATTTCAGTGGGCTAGAGATAGTTCCACACTGCATCAGGCGGTGGCCTGCAAGGACTCCCCACCAGCCACTGTGCTCAGTTCTCTTCAGTGAGGTTTTCAGTCTGGAGACTCTTGCTAATGCAGCGGTGCTTTTTTAAAAGAATAAACTGCCCTTCAAAGTTTTACGGTCTTTTCTTCCAGATCTGGTCTGCCTGCGTAATGAACAATAATAAAGAGCTTCACGTATCTATCTTGACCTATCTTGGCAAGGATGTATGGGCAAATGGCATAATGCTACATATTTCCATGTAGTGTCTTAGATATTTTTAAGTGGGTTGGGTCAAGCATGCACCCCAAAATCTAATATTGGTTCTGTTTCCTACTCTTAGCTTCACATGGAGTTCATCCCACATTGACAGAAACATCCTGCTCGTCTTGACAGGACAGCACGTGGAGATGTTTGATATTGAGTTTCGTGAGCTCTATGCCATCTCGGAGGAAGTTAATTTCTACAAGGAACTGGGTATCGCTAACCCATTCCTTCTTGGAATTGGAAAGCCAGGCTTTCATTCCTCCACTGTGGCTCGGAAGTTCATTAACCCCAAGTATGGTTTAGTGGCAGGGGCAACCCGTGGTGATATGATGCTCTGGGCTTCACGACACAGGCAAGATTATCAGGGGAACATGGAAAAGGAGGAAACAAGCGAGTCAAAGAAACGGTTAAATCAGTTTCTGAATGACTTAGTCACACTGGAGCAAGAGTTACCAGAAATTGATCCCCCTCTGGAAAACTTGAACAAGCTCAATCGGAGCCCTCAGAAACTGTTCTCCCGGCTCCATATGGACCTGAAAAATAAATCCAAATCTAGAGAGTCTATTCGTGATGTGAAGAAAGAAGATGTACAAGCCAATTCAAAGCAAGGAAAGCGATTTGCCAGTGGGCTTTTCAGTCGCAAGGCCAAACGGTCTCCAGGCTCAAGCATCGAGGCGAATTCTTTTGCCAGTGAAGGACACTCAGGGGAAGACCTTGGGAACATGAAACTGGAATATGAGCAGCTCAGCATTGGCCATGCCAGTGTTCGGAGCACTGGAGGCATCTCAGGTAAAACCTCTTCTACTAGCACATTCTGCTTCTGTGTTCCTTGTTCTGTGTTTGGCTGATTGATGCAAACTCACTCAGTACAGGCACCTGTGAGTAGATCCTGTTATTTCCCCTGTATTAGAATGAGTGGGATCAAAGAAGTCTAGAAGTAGTATTAAATGATACAGGCAATGTAAGCTGAAGGCAATTTAATGGCAGTCTTACTGTAAAGTTGGTACTTCTCATGCAAATATTTTTCTCATGCTTCTCAGCAAGCAGGTATAGGACAAAGGGAGAGGAAGGTGAATGTCTCTTTGTGTAAAGCAGGTTGTGTGTGCAATTCGTGAAGTGCACTGCCCTAACAACGGCAGCGCTACGTTCACTGCTGCAGTGGCTAGCAGGGTGCAGACTGATTTTCAGTGTAACCCTTCCTTTCCTCATTTGGGCTTATTTGGGTGTGTTTACTGGTGGGGAAGAGAGAAAAATGTCTTCATATTGAGGTGAGCGGGCAAGGAGTGGATGGAAGTCTTTTGAATTTGCTCCTTTATCACCTTCTGAAATAGGTGAGAAGGTCACAAAAACAGAAGCTGTAGAGAACTACTTGATCGCAACTCTTCTTTCTTTGCTAACATGTGATTGATATTTTCACTAAGTCCTTCCAAGGCTTTATCCAGTTGAAGACAAAAATGATAAAGATTTCTTCCAGTTTCTGGGTTTATAGCTAACTTCCCAATGTTTTAGATACTTTGTCAGATTGAAATAAGTCTATGGACTATTCAACCTGGTTGTCTTACTCTCTCAGTGAGCTGTCCTGGATCTCAATACAGTCCCTGCCAGCAGAAAAATAAACTAGTTCCAGGGAGAAAATGTCTCCTTGCCTTGTCTGGCCAGAGCCATTCTGTGCTCTGATGAATGCAAAATGCAGGCGTAGAAAGACTTGAGTTCCCTTGACACTGCCATGAAGTGAAATGGAAAGATATTCTTCTGAGACCAAAAAGAAAAGCAAGGTATTGGGAAGGTCAACAGCAATGATTAATTAGGTTTTTTAGAAATATTTCCGGCCAAATGCAGGGCAGACTCAAAAATGTCAAATGGACACAAGAGAGAGGAGCTGCAAAAAGGCATGGATCATTTATTTAAGACTATAGTAGACCCATTTTAGGATGCGCATTTGGCATTTAGAGAGGCAGAAGTAAACCCTTGTCTAAAGAGGTCCTCTCTCCAAATCACTGTGTGTCATGAACACAGACAGTACGTGCTGCCGGGCCCCGTTCTGCAGAGACAGAAAAAACAAAATCCGTCAAGTCCTATGGAGAGATGTGTGTGCACGTCCCTCGGAGGGATGGACCCGAGGGCTTGCACTACCCTCTAGTGACGGAAGCAGAGAATTGTGTCATCTCTGATCTGTCAGCACTTCGCGGTACCACGGATCCCCCTGCATTTCTCGCCGTCAGCTCTTTTAAAGCAGGCGGCCCGCCCTGCCCGCAATGTCGCGATGAAATTAGGCCCAGATTAAGGCAAACAAGGCGCCGAGGTCTCTAGTCGAACAGTGCGGGGCTGCGTCCTTCTGGGGCATCACACAGTCAGGGCAGCAGGTATGTCCCTGTTTCTTTTAACACAGTGGATCTGGGCCAGACAGCCTGATGCTCGGTCTGGGCAGTTTCCACAAAGACACTACCGTGCTATTACATTCAAGTTTTATTTCTTGCCACTGCTACTTTCTGAGGGCTGCCACCCCTTTCAATAAAGGGACAGGAAGAATTGAGAACAGGTGTAGAGAAGGTGCAGAGGGCCAGCATACACACCTTCCCGCTGTACTCTTCCTGGCCTGAGAAGTCTTTCCAAGCAGTCCATGCAAGGAATTTTTTTGTTTTATGCAAATTGAGAATGCCTATTCATGGTGGCAATGGGAGAATACACAGCTTTTGAAGTATGGTGTAAGTAGACTTAGGTCATCTGTTGTTGTAAAAGGATGGAGGAAGATCACTGCTTGTGTGTTGCTTTTGAATTGAATCACTGTTCTTGAGAGAGAGCTTCACTAGTCTAATGGTCCTAAAGTGTGTGAACAGATGTAGAGAGCACATTAGGACAGAGACTCTTAAGAAAGAGGAAAATAATTAGTTACCCAGAAGATCCTGTAGCTATTTGATCAGTAGCACCTGCTTCATTAGGATTTAATAAAAAATTCTTTAACATGGTTTAGAGTTCCAGCTTCAAGATAAAAACAGGAGGCGCTTTGTTCTTGGGTAACTGTACGACTAACTTAGTTTTAAAAGTTTGTCTTTGAGCAGGTCTAGTGAAAACTGATGCTGTGATACTCCAGGTGACAAAAAGGAGGTAAGAAGTGGAAATGAAGGAGGGAGAAGGTGCTTGATATGCAGTCAGGTTAGGATGCAATTATTCAGAGCTTCACAGTTTGAAATAGCTGCCCTTACCTTTTGTAAAGATTAAACAGCACACTTAAGCCCTGTGGGCTTGCCTGTGCACACATCCTCCAAAGTCACTATTAATTCTGTAGTGCCACAGAGACATATCCCACCTTGTAAATGCATAGAGAGACCAGATCTATACACCAAGTAGCTCACAGAGTAATTGAAAGGCATTATTCAAGCAGGCTAAAGGTCAAGTTCAGTCTTGTAAGTGCAAATGGTGATGAAGAGAATCTGAACTGGGAAGGGAAGTGATGAAAGTGTCTTCTGTGACAGTCTGAAAATCTGACTCAGTATTTACTGGCTAGAAAAGGATACCTACAAGTCAGAACTGGGAGACTGGAAGATAGAAGGGCTGCAGATTGTAGTGTTCCAAACTAAGTGTCCAAATTAACACCCTGAGGTGTTTTCCTAGCACACAGCATGAAGTCTTACAAGGCTTTCTTAAACCACATCATCAAATTGACAAAACTTTTGAATTTCACTCTTGCCTGCTTAGAAACACAACAGCAGCAGCTCTGAACCCGACCAGAATCTTGTTAATTTTAAGGTGCTGCTGGGCAGACTGTGATCAGCAAAGACACTGGCATCTGTGTTCAGTTTCTGGGAAATTCTGCAAGGGTTTGAAAGCTGTTGTGCCTTTGGAAGGCACAGGCTTCTTTGTTTTATTTTGTCCCCTGCCAGAAGCAAAGTGGGCTTGTTCAGACAGGGATGCTCTCCTGAGTTGCTCCATACAATGTCCTTCTCTCCTCACGTGTGCTGGTTACAGAACATGTGTACTTACTTGCAGGATTTTGTGTTTCACTTTTAGGTACTTCTAGCAACAAGAAACAGGATTTACAGTGGGCACTATGATACCTCAGAAGTAGCTGCTAGGTTATTGCCAGTGTTTTCCAGCAAAGTGGGATCATTGACGGGTGGTAACTGAGATTTTCAGCCTTTTTTCTAAAGAGGAAGAGGGGAACATTGTTGGGTATATTCAGGTTGAGTGTTTGCTCTAATCGTAGCAGGATCTCTAGGAAAAGCTCAAAAGATAGGAGTAGAAAGAGAGAAGAATAAAGAAGTTGGGAGTTGAGATTAAGCAGAGGAGCACAGATGCTTTTGAAAGTAAACATGAGGGTCTTAAATGTGATACAAACAGGGAGGGGAAACAGGAGTGGTGAGGAGATGGGAGTAATGATAAACTCAGTAGTAATAGACACACTGGGTCAAAGAGAGGACAGGAGGTAGAATGAAATGCCATGGGGAGATGTGGGGAGGAGGCAGTAGCATACAGAGCAGCCACAAAAGTGAGGCAGGTTGCAGTACAGCCTCCTGCATGGATATCATGAAGTTGCAAGGGGAAAGAAGGTGGAGAGAAGGAGGAGAGGAGAGAGCTCTTCCTTTCCCCATTACCTGTGGGTGAGGAAAACATTGATCAAATACACACAAGCAAGAGAGTGACATGAAAAATTACTTGCTTGATGCCCAGTTCAGAGGCAGTGCTTGGGTTGAAAGCTTCCTCGTCTTAGCAAAGCTGAGACTTCTCAGTAGTATGTCACCAGGACCTGTGGCAGTTTTCCCTCCCTGTTCTGCCTCTGTACTGGCCACTGGCTCCAAACACTTGGGAGACAGACATATAACTTCCATCTACACCAATGTGTGAGTGGGGTCTGACCTTGCTGGGAGTGACTGTGAGCCACATGGCAGCTCCTGTCAGAACGTGCTGCCCTGGGCTGTAGGTGGTGTAAGCCTCACTGGGCTCAGAGCACAGCCAAGCTCCCCTCCTTGTAACAGTCTCTGCAAACATACTTCTCTTTAGCAGTGTGCCCAGGTGGCCAAGAAGGCCAATGGCATCCTGGACCGTATCAGGAATGGTGTTGTCAGCAGGAGCAGGGAGGTGATCACACCCCTGTACTCAGCTTTGGTGAGGCTGCACCTCAAGTATTGTGTCCAATTTTGGGCCCCTCACTACAAGAGGGACATTAAGGTGCTGGAGAGGGTACAGAGGCAGGCTACCAAGCTGGTAAAGGATTTGAGCATGTGTCGTATGAGGAACAGCTGAGGGATCTGGGACTGTTTAGCCTGGAGAAGAGGAGACTGAGGGGAGACCTTATCACTCTCTACAACAACTTGAAAGGAGGTTGTAGCGAGGTGGGGGTTGGTTTGTTCTCCCTGGTGCCAAGTGATAAGACAGAGGGAAATGGCTTTAAGTTGCACCAGAGGAGGTTCAGTTCAGATATTAGGAAGAATTTCTTTACTGAAAGAGTTGTCAGCCATTGGAACAGGCTGCCCACCAGGGAGGTGGTTGAGTCACCGTCCCTGGAGGTGTTTAAGAGATGAGTAGATGTTGTGCTGAGGGACATGGTTTAGAGATGTTGATAGGGCTAGGAAAAGGTTGGCCTTGATGATCTTGATCTCCCAACCAAAACTGTTCCATGATCCCATGATTTTAGTACCGTGCTTGAAAAAAATACACTATGGCATCCAGACCAACAGCTGGCTTTAATGAAGAAGATCAAACAGCAGTGCAAGCATCAGGAAGTATAGATACTGAGAGTAGAAGAAATCCATAGAATAAGCAATAAAAAAACCTAAAGATGATGAAAGTTTTGGGCAGCCCACTACTTAAGTGAGAGACCTTGAGACCTCAAGATTTGTCTTACAAAGGAAATGGTGGAAATACTGGCACCTGAGATCTTTAAAAACAGGACGTGAAAACACCTCTACTGAGAATGTGTGCGGGGATCAAAGGGATGAGATGACCTGACTTTTTTTTCATACTTCACTCTTTGGAAAACCTCCAACCCAAGTCATAGCCAGTCTGTTTTTCAGTGCCAACTGGGACCTGAGAATACCACTTAAACTGGCCTGGGTACAGGCCAAAACCTGGAAATACTTATCTGGTGTTTTCTTTCCACAGTATACTCTGAATTTGCTCTTACTTTAATGTCTCTTCATTTCACAGTAGTTGGAAATAAAACCACAAGAGAGTGCAGAGTAATGTAGGTCTAATACAAGATATATAGTAAATAACGAGAGAGGATTGAAGTGCAAGTCCAAACTTTGTCCAGGTCTTATTTACTTAACATTAACATTACTTTAACTTCTTTTCATTGGTCGTAACCTGAGTCCAAACTCCACTACGAGCGATAAAAACAAACAATCTGCTTGTGTGTTATCTTGATGGGGAAGTATTGTCTGGAGAACTGAAGACTGAACAAGCTGGAACAGTAACCTCTTGATTAATTTTGAACCTGCAGCCATGTCCTCCCACAGTGCCCTGTAAAACCACTGCACGGTCCTGGATGCACATGGCACTCCCAGTTAAAGCGCATTTACTGGGTGAAGCATAGACTTTGGACAGTTGGTCCCTTACATGAGGGTTAATGATGAATGTATTAGTCCATATGTCTATGTGCACATATATTTTATATATAAAAACAACTGTGATGACTGGTCTCAGAGCTCACTCTGTGTCCAGATAAATGCAGGAGATTTTCTGACTTACTTGTGCTGCTACTTCAGTCTGTCTAGCTACAGACTCAGAATCACTGTGTTGCATTGTTTACTCTACTGCACTGCAGAAATGTATTTGTCTGACTGGCTGGAAGGCTAAATCCAATCGAAGTGGCGAATTCTGGGTGAAATAAGCATATTTACAGACAGCATAGCAATCTGTTGTCCACATGGAGTCTTCCTGCAGATGCCTGTTGTCACTCATCCACACAGAAATGAGTGGTCTGGGAGGAGGGTTTAGCTAGCAGAGGCCAACAGATTAGTATCTTAACCGTTTCATGTCATAAATACAGCAGTCAAACAAAGTGATTTAGGAAGAATGTACTACAGAGAAAAAAAGGAATATGGGGGGATGTTTAACCTGCAGTTGAGACTGTTTCGGGGGAGATACCCTATAAGGGTGACTGGACGGGATCTAGGAGCAATAATACAGCCTTCGGTATGGTACAAAATCCTGTTTGTTGCTAATTCAGCAATAATTTACCATTCATTCAACCTAAAGGAGTATATCCTTGAGGGTTGAAAGAGGAAGCAGAGGAAGCATACAAGCTTTCCAAATGTTCCTTTTTTTTTTCAAAGTTAACCTTTCCAAATTCTAAATCATGCCAAAACCAGGAGCTTTGATCCATAAGAGGCACTGTGTGCAATCAGACCAAAGGCTATCTAGTCTGCTATCCTGTCTTTGAGGATAGTCAGTAACAGGTGATCATGGAAGCATAAAATATAAAGCTTGTATACAGAGATCTTTCTCTGACACCGTTCCAGCAGTCTATGGACTTTCTGAGCTGGCAGTTTGTTCTGGACCTGGCTTTAATGAATGCACTTCGTCCCTTTTTAAAACTGCTTTTCTACTTTGGGCCTCCACAGTGTTCTGTGGCAATGAATCCTGAGTTTGTGGTGAGGTATGAAACAGAACTTTTGTCAGGCTGTTTTAATGTTCTTGATGATTTCATTGAGTGACCTTAATTCTTCAACAGCCAGATGTAGCAACGATCACCCCTGTTCTTTGTGTCCTTGCCACTTGTGATTTTACAGACCTGTATCATATATGCCCCCAGTCATCACTTTTTCAAAGTTGCAGGTTCATGGTATGTGCAGCTATTCATTATATGGGACCTGTTTGACGCCTCTGTTGACTTGTTCACTGGCCCTTTTCCAGTTCCACCCACTAACAGAGTGGAGAAGCGAGTTGTTTTTGTTTCTTCAGTGTATGGACTGATGTTTCACTCTGCCTTCTTGCCATCTAAATTATATACTCTGCTGTCATAAATAAGCCCTCTTGTGACACCTAAGAAATAGGTATCTTGTGATACCTAAGAAATACCCTAATTGTAAGTAGACACTTGAAAACTAGCATATCTACTTGCGTCTCTCTATTGACATCAGAAAAACACAGGTTTAGTTTTCCTTTGTTTTGTTTAGAGAAACCATCTGGAATTTTCACTGCACAAGGAATTCACGACAAAGGCAACTGCTGCTCTCCCAACATGAACAAGTTGTTCTGAAGACTCTTCCAGCTGCTGAGTTGCAGTAGGGGTTGTTATACTGATACAGCTGTCTGCAGTTGATGATAAAATGTGACTGATTGATTGACCGATTAACTGACTTGCCTGAAAGTATTCAATCTGAATGGCAAGCAGGTCTCTTACTCTGAGTTCTCTCCATAGAATGTCTTGAGACCTTAAAATACCAAAGGTATTGTGCCCTCTGCTAAATATTCTCATCCTCACTCAGTGGGTTAAATGCGTGCTACTCTATATAGCCTTTTTGGGAAAAAGCTGTAGTTTTACAGCTGGGTCTGTCAGCTCCTGTTATCAGCAGTGTTTTATACAGTTGTTCCTATTAATGGGAGAAAAGAGGTGTTGGAAATGATGCCATCACTTCGGTGCAGAAGTAACTTAATGCATGAGTTATCCTGTTGGCTTCAGGTGCACAGCTCATGTGCCAAAGACTCCTCACTGTATGTTTCTAGGATTAACTAAAATGACTTGATTTAGCGTACTTTTGTTATTCTCCAGAGATTTTTTTTTCTCCCCTTGTATTTATTTCACTTTGTTAGCAAAGATCAGAGATAAATTTATCAGGCCAACATTGTTCCACTTTTCGTTCTGATAAGGAAATTGTCAGCTGATGCTTCCTTGTTCTCCCGGACTCTTAAAATATTTATTTATTTTTTAAATTGTGCAATAGGTTAATTAAATAATTAGTATCTTGATGACATATATGGTCAGGTTTTCCAGGAAGCTCTCTGTCTCTTTGGTTTTATGTCTTTGTTGCTTCATCTTGGGTGCAGTGGCTTCACAAGCAGCCCAAGAGGCTGATTTCACTTGCCCTTCCTTTCTTTCTGTGCTTACTTATTAATGTGCCTCACTTTCTTTTTCCTGTGACAGATATGAGAGCACTTTTCTTTAACCTTGTCAGCTAACAGGATCTCCTTTCCAGAAAGAGTCTCTCATCTGTTTGCCTTCTGTTTTGTTGCCACACCAGTTCCTGAAAGGTAGCGTTCACTTGTTGTTTTTAAATTCTTTTCCCTGTCACGAAAGTTGAGTCTCATGCTTTGACTCCAGGGGCTAGTAGAATTCCTTTAGGCTTATCACGCACTGTTTAATTACTGGAGAAAGCAAACTTGCTTCCTTGCATGATAGGAATCTGCTCCTTAAACTCAGCGTGACTCTTTGGGGATGCATGCGTCCTTGCTGATCCAGAGTGGATGTTTCAGGCTCCGGTGGAACTTGTTCTTCCCTGGAGATAAAATCAGCTGAACTTGGACTATGTAGTTGCTCCTATGGCAACAGATATGAGTTTGGGTGAGGTGACCGCTTTTATTTTGACTAGTTTTGCTAACTGCGGTTCTTGATGCATGCTAGAAACCCGAGGCTGTGACCTGTAAAGTGAATCTCTATCACTCTCCAGATAAAATGTGGTTGATGGTGCTGGGGGGCAGAGAGACAAGGAGCAGTGGTTGTGAATTCTCTTGGAATATGGTTGGCAGAGGCTGGAGGTACGGCAGTATCTCCAGCAGTCTTCAGTTAAGCCATCATTTGGTTCTTGCTCAAGATGCCGCCTCTTGCAACCAAGTCACTAACCTCCCAAGGGGGCAGGAAAGATGGGAGACATTCGTTGTTCTTTTGCTGTTTTAAAGAACAAAACTGTCTCTCTTTGGCATTTGTGTCCTGACCCCGGACAATCCCAGACGGGTGCCTGTTCTCCAGATCTCATTTATTCTTTGGCTTGTCAGCCCAGGTTTGCTGATCTGTGTGGTGTATCAGGGGGCCTACACTTGTGGTCCTTGTTTTGGACAGAGAGTAATGAAGCTAGGGCTCATGGCTCTTTCTTTCTGTTGTGAAATGGTGAGTGATTCTGAATGAGGCTCTTGGCTGAATGTGTGCCTTCTGGGTTTCTTTTGGTATGAATTTGTATGTTTAATGTATATGTGTCCAGTGAATTATGCTGCAGACTTTTTCTAAGTCAAAAAAATAAACTCTTTACTATGTTACATTCAGATAGTTTGTTCATTGGTGTTGCTTTTAATTTCTCAGCTAGTTCCTGGGTTTAGTTTTGTCTTGTGTTTTTTTTCTTGTTTGTTTGTCAAGAACCTGCATTGTCTGAATTAGAGCAGGTTTCTGTGTAACACAGGAACATCTTTGGGCAATGTTTGGTGGTGCTTGTTAAAAGGTGTGTGGGCAGCTAAATTCCCCACAAGCACGGTGTCCCGTGGCTTTGAGTACCTTGAGAAAGACTAATTCAT